CATTAACTCTGATCTGTTACAGGTCAAGGGTTAGTTAAATTAAGGGCATTATTTTAATCCAAGTTTCCTGGGATGGAAAAGGCTCAATTAGAGGCTCAATTAGAGGCCCGATTATGCCTAGGCCCTAGAACTGATCCCCTCATGCTTGTAAACAAACTCATTTATAATTCCTAGTCCAGTGCATCGTGGATCCTGAAATCATGAATAGCTTCTGATTCCCCTAATCAGGACAAAACTATTCTTTCCTATAGTTAGGTACTTTTTTTTGGGGGGGGGGGGTCCTGGGCTGGTCTAAAACAGATAGTCCTCCAGCCTCATTCTATACAGTGAAGGAACTACCAGCTCCAATATAGATCATTTATTAACCTTTGAATAGTTTAAAGATCCTCTTTTAGAATTTGATTAAAGGGCTCGAGAGATGGCTCAGAGGTTAAGAGCACTGGCTGCTCTTCTAGAGGTCCTGAGTTCAATTCTCAGCAACCACATGGTAATTCACAATCATCTGCAATGATGAGATCTGGTGTCCTGTTCTGGTCTGCATGCTTACATGCAGCCAGAACACTATACATAATGAATAAATAAATCTTTTTTTTTATATTTTTGGTTGTGAGCCTAGCCTTTAATGGCTGAGCCATCTCTCCAGCCCAAATATGTTTAAAAAAAAAAAAAAGAATTTGATTAAAGTGTTAAGTCTAATACCCACCCTGGCAGCATTCATAACTGTCAACAAAATCTATTTATTACCCATCCTTGAACACACCTGATAAAACTAACATATGTTTAAGTTTCAGCAAATTTTATTACTTGTGTTAATTATAATTCATGGCTCTATCTTCAGGGGCTAGAAACAGAAATATCAAGGATAGAATACAAAGCTCTATATACACTGACTGGCCCCACATTATGCTGCTGAGGGAGGGACTTCAGCCTCACAGAGCCACAACCAGGAAGAAGACACAAGGCATTTTCATTTCACAAAATTGAAGCTTTGTTCTTTGTTATTCTTTTTTGAGACAGGGTTTCTCTGTATTCCTTTGGAGCCTGTCCTGGAACTTGCTCTGTAGACCAGGCTGGCTTAGAACTCAGAGAGATCTGCCTGCCTCTGCCTCCTGAGTGCTGGGATTAAAGATGTGAGCCACCAATGCCCAGTTAAAAAAACCTGAAGCTTTATAAAATATTCATGTATTGTCTTTAAAACCAAAGGATATGCCAGGCGGTGGTAGTGCACACATTTGATTCCAGCACTAGGCAAATCTCTGAGTCTGAGACCATCCTGGTCTACAGAACGAGTTCCGTGACAACAGCCAACGCTACACACAGAAACCCTGCCTCAAAGATGGATGGATGGATGGATGGGTGGATGGATGGATGGATGGATGGATGGATGGATGGATGGATGGATGGATGGATGGGTGGGTGGGTGGGTGGATGGGTGGATGGATGGGTGGATGGGTGGGTGGATGGGTGGGTGGATGGATGGGGGGATGGATGGATGGGGGATGGATGGATGGGTGGGTGGATGGATGGATGGATGGGTGGGTGGATGGGTGGGTGGGTGGATGGATGGATGGATGATGGGGGGATGGATGGATGGATGGATGGATGGATGGATGGATGGATGGATGGATGGATTGTGGCAACTTTGGGTATTCTAGCAAGTGTTCAACCCTGAGCTACACTCCTATCTAAAACAACTAATAATCTGGAACTGAAAGCACTGTTATTGTACCCTTCAATTTCTGTTCTTATTATTTTATAATCTTTATTTAAGAACAACAACTCATAGTGTAAAGAAAAAAGGGTATAGTGACAAACTCCTTTAATAATCTTAGCACTCATGAGGCAGAGGTAGGTGGATCTTGGAGTTCGGAAGCCAGCCTGATCTACAGAGTGAGTTCCAGGGCAGCCAGGGCTAAACAGAGAAACCTTATCGAAAGAAAAGAAAAAGAAAAAGAAAAAAAAGAAAAAGGCTGGGAAAGACTGTTAAATGATATAGTGCCTGTCTAGCATGTATAAAGACCCTGAGTTCAATCCCCAGCAAAACATAAACATAAACATAAACACACACACACACACACACAGAGTATATTGACTCTTAAAGAAACAACCTGTTTAAGGTTAATTAACAGTACAAAAATATTTTTACATGCAAAAATAAAAACATCCCCAGTTTAGGGAACTGTTCTCCAAGTGGAAGGTCTTGACCTCTTACAGAAGAGCAACAAGAATTCTGGAGCCTTTCACCAAACTGAGAGATTGCTTCATGGTGGACAGAAACAAAGCCCTTAAGGATTCTGCTTCCTAAATTTCCTATAAACCCAAGGACTCAGCCTGAGAGAACAAGGTAAAATTCGATCTTTCACATGACTGAAAACTGGCTTCCTAAAGGAATGATGTCCAACTCTGACTATCTGGTAGTTTATATGCCTCATTTCTGGCTTTTCAGGGTGTAATGAGAACTACACGGTCTTTCCACCAGGTACTTTAAGAGAAGGTCTAACACTGTACTGTAAACCTAACCAATAAACTAGTTGATGTTTTCCAAATCTCTAAGAAAAACAAAAACAAGTTTACTGATGGTGTCTTTGGGGAATTCTGCATTGTTGATGGGTCAAAGTCAAGTTTCTTAGAAAGTAGAATTTTAGATAGGTCATCTTTTGATAACTATTCAAAACCCCAAATTAAGTATACCAACTACAGGGGAGGAAAGTTGCTATCAACTGTTACACATTTACTGATCTCCACAGAGAAGGGTTTTGTAGTACTTCAAATATGTACATGTTGGAATCAGGATATTAATGTGTTGAATGCTTTTCAAGTAACACACATTTTAACTGACAAGTGTCTCTTCCAAGAGCCGCTAGGATCAGGGACTGGGCAATGGCTCCCTGTGAAGAATAGTGCCAAAACTTGACCACCTAAGTTTGACTCCTGCGGCTCTCATATGGAAGGAGAGTCAATTCCCTCTGACCTCCACAAGCACTCCTTGACACAGGCACACTCAAACAACATATTTTTTTCTTAACCACTAGGATTAAAAGACACCATGTCAAGTAAACCTGATTATTCACCATGTAAAGGGCAATGACAGCTTACATTGCCTAGAGATATTAGGTTATCTAATACCGAAAAACCTCGAGTTTACTGAGGACAGAAATTAGAAGTGATTCTAAATATGACGAGCTAATAATTAAGGCAAAATGAGTTTCCACTACTTTTCCATCAACAAAATGGGAAAAGGACGTCGGAAGGTGGCATATCCCCCAACGGTAGTGCTCTTCAAATGCACTCAATGTGTAATCGGGCACATTCACTTCTTTCTCTGGAAAGAAAGAAAAGGAGCTGGGGACAAGTTTACCAGCACCCAATATGGCACTGTCACAAGCAAACACCCCCCACACGGCAGCCACCATTTTGAGCAGCAGGATTTAATTAGACTACTCAGGATTTCAAACCAACTAAAATGAAACACAGGACGTCAGAAGCATCTCTTCCCCGTTAAGATTCCTCAAATCGTTGATCTTTGTAGCCCAGCTGCATTACAAAATCTCCTCACAAAAATATATCCAAGTTCAAACTTTGTAAGCAAACGCTTTGAGGGTTCGTGAAATTCCCAAACTACAGTTTCCTTAAAAAAAAAAAAAGTGGAGAAGCCCAGGACCTGGAGAGCCCTACCGACCTACTCACATTGTTAAAAGTGCCTCCAAACGCCGACGAGTGGCCCTACTTGAAGTCTACATTCCTCTTCATTCTCCTAACCCAGCTCTTGGGATCGGTTTAGTTTTCCGATTTCATTAACTGCAACCAGAGCAAGTTCCCACGCTTCATTCATAGAAGCAAATAACATTTCTGCCAGCACAACTGACTTTAAAAATAAAAGTGAGCAAACACCTCAGGAGTCAACAAATTAAAAGCAAGGTTCATGAGGGTGGAGGGGCAATAACAACGGTCAGATCTTCCAACTAAATCACTTTAATTTCGATTATTTCAATTGTAAAGCCATTCACGGAACTGAAAACAATAAACTGACCGACAGTTCCGTGTACCTTTGTCCGAAGGAAAAAGGTGGTTAAGTCACTACACCGATTACCATAGGAAAGAAAGCAACTCAACCTGCCGGCCAATCATATATTTCACACCTCCATCCAAAAATAAAAAACGAGATGCTGATGCTGCTGCGGCTGCTTTGGGGCCATCTTACACATTCCGTTTCCCACACTCCCGGCCCTGTCCTTGCCACTAGGACCCTCCGATTTTAGAGCAGTTATCACAAAGCCTCGGGTCTGGCCAGCACCTTCGGCCTGGCCAGAAAGCCATCCCCTTGCTCCTCGCTCGCCCGGGGGAATAATGGTGGCGAAATCAACTCAGGGAGAGAGCGAGAGCTCCCCGACTACGGAGGGGGCTGCACGTTCCTCAGACGGAGCGGTTTTTAAAGAGGAGGGGATCCCCAAACTTTCCCTCCACAGCCTCGCGTCCCGAGCGACGGTGAGCGCCAGGCGGTCCCACAAGGAGAACGCCCCAAGCCCAGGCCCCATCCCCGCCCGCCTGAAGTTGATTGGAAGCGCCGAGAGTTCCGGGCCTCCGCAAGTCGGCCAAGTGCGACCCCGGCGAGCGTCTCCCGAGCACCGCCGACCCTGCCCAGGGCCGCTCCCGCCTGGCCGCAACGGCCCCCTGCTCTGGTGCGCCCGCACCCGGTCCCAGTCCCCGCCTGAACAGCTGCTCGCCGCCTCCGAGGCTCCGGCGGGGAGCGCGCGCGCACTCGCCCTCAGGCCGGCCGAGAAGTCCCGGGAGAGCCCCCGGGTCCCGCGTCGACAAAAGCAGGCTCGACCCCCGCCTGCTTTCGAGAGCGCGAGGGGCCGCGGGGAGCCCGTGCCGGCCGCCAGCCTCGTGCCCGCCGCCGCCGAGCCCCTCGCCCTCGCCGCCCGCACTCCGCGCCAAGTCGGCGGCCCGAGACTCCCCGCGGGGAAGCGCAGAGAAAGGGCGCAGCGCCCGCCACTCACCTCGATCTCGAAGTCGGGCAGGCGGAACGCCGTGCGAAAGAGCGAGCAGAAGTGCGCGATGGCCGGGACTTCCCACCAGGAGCGGAGCTCGCCCAGCCCGGCCGAGCCGCCCTCCTCCGGGCACATCTCCCCGCCGCGCCCGCTCGCCCGCTCGCTCGCTCTCTCTCCTCCGCTCCGACTCCGGCCGCGGGCAGCGCCTCTCAGCGCGCGGCGGCTCCCGCCGCTCGGCGTGAGCACAAGCTGAGGCGCGCCGGGCGGGGGGCGGCGGGCCGAGTCGCTGAAGCGGCCGCTGCTCCGGCAGCCGGCGGGGCCCGCGCGCTCGCCCCGTCCCGCCGCGGCCGTGCGGCCGCCCCCAGTCCCATACAATATAATCCACTCAGCGCCGAGGAAAACAGATGGGGCTGGGGGTGGGGAGGGGGCCCGGCAGAAGCCTGGGGGAGGGGCCGCCCACGAGGAGGGGGCGGGGCCGGCGCGCACCACAACAACAACCCCGCCCCCACCCCTGCGCGGACAGCTGCACTGGGGAAGGGGGAGGGGAGCGGGCCAGCCGCGCCCCGGGAGGGGCCGCGCGCGACGCGGAGGGGGCCGCGCGCAGCCCGCGGGCGGCCGGGTGGGGGAAGAGCTCTGCGGTGCAGGTGTTTGGGGCCGGGGAGTTGGGCGACTTCGGTGACGGAAGACAATAAGGGTCTCTCCCACCCCCACGTGGCCTCAGTGGTCGAGTCCTTTTAAAGGGCCCGCTGGGTGGTGCTCTCGCTCGGGGCTAGCTCCAGGAGTGCGCACGTGTGGGGTTTCAGTTATTACTGATGTGGAGGGTGGTGCAGGAGAGCGAGTGGGCTGTCCACGCTGGGAAGCGGAGGCCGCGGCAAACGACGCGCTTTCCACCTGTTCTCTAGCGCTTTTATTCCGTCGGAGAACGGGACTTGGAGAAGCGCTTGAAAGCGCCTCTCTCTCTCTCTATCCCCAGGGAAGAAGGTGGCGGGGCTGGTTAGGCTGGAACCAAGTAGGATGGAGGGTAGAGTGTGGCGGGAAGGGTGGAGTAGGGGGGAGGCACCAATCAGCAGCCTAGCGGGAAGAGCAATTTCCCCCACCCCAGGGAACGGACACGTGCAGCCGCACTGGAGGAGACTGGCTTGGAGCCCTGTGGCTGCCCTCGCCGGAGCCTTGCTGCGGGCGCGAGTGCTCACAATGTGGCTATGAGGCTGGGGGATGGGGAAGAGGCTCGGGACTCAGGGACGTGTGTCCGGGTGGGGGTGGAGACCTGCCCAGGCTGAGGGAATGTGCTCGGGGAGGAGGGTGCTGAGGCCACCGCTAGTAGAAATGTTAACTGCCGTTTAGGACGTCGGAATTCTGCGAAACCGGAAGGGGGGATTCCCCTCCAAAAACAACCCAGAAGTTTGGACGAACTACATTTAAGGCTCGTCTGTTTGTGTTGGTTTGCGCTTGGGCAATTCTACTCAAGTCTCAGTCCTGGCTGGTTCTCTCTGCTCCACTTCTCAAGAAACACCGCCCCTGACGTGCACTCGAATTTAGCTATTTACTGAGCGAAAGGCACAGCCTGGAAAGAATAAGAGCAAGGATGGGGAACGAGTTAATTCGGAAGATGTAGAAGTAGGCTGTTTGGGTAATTCCTCCTTCATGCACCCTCACCTATTCTGATCATTTTAATAACCTCTTGTGTCTTTGTAAGGCAGCACTTAGAAACACAAAATTCTCGAGCTACTTCAAGCGAGTCTTTTGTGAACCAACTAATCTTAAGATCCTTCATCTTGGACCTGGAGAGACGGCTCAGCGGTTAAGAGCACTGACTGCTCAGAGGACTCGGGTTCAATTCCTCACATCCATATGGCTCCAAGATCTGGCACGCTCATGCAGGCAAGACAACAATGTTCATAAAAAATTATAAAAACTATCACCCTGTAGGTAGTTAGCAACCCTTAAACAGTATGTTTGTTTTTAATGTTTTTATAGCTCAACTACTCTATAAGTGCCTCGTGAATAGACGGGGGGGGGGGGGCGGGATTCACCGTATCTCCTGGAATGTTCCATGGACATTTTGTTTTGTGACAAGGTCCCCTCTGTATCCAGGCTGGCCTCAAACTCGAGTCACTCCTCCTGCCTCCACCTTGATCTTGAGCCTCCCTGCTTGGCATTCTCTGAACTGTGGTACCACACCCTTTTCCTTTGAAAAGGGTTTCTTAAAGCTCACACTAGCTAGCAATCACCTTGAACCAAGTCTGCCTGCACTTCCCAGGTGCTGGGATTACAGACATGAGTCTCTGCCCAGTTACGTTTATTCACGCTAGTGTGTAACCCTTTATATTCTGACTTTTCTTACTCCTTCCTCATGCTCTGATATCTACTCATTTCTGCCTTTATCCTTGGTTTCTGGTTTTTCGAGACAGGGTTTCTCTGTACTGTTTTGGAGCCTGTCCTGGAACTCGCTCTGTAGACCAGGCTGGCCTCAAACTCATAGAGATGCTACTGCCTCTGCCTCCCGAGTGCTGGGATTAAAGGCGTGCGCCACCAACGCCCGGCTATCCTTGTTTTTTAATGGTTCTTTGAGACAGGGTTTCTCTGTGACTGTTCTGGATCTCAATTTGTAAACCAGGCTGACCTCGAACTCAGAGATCAGATGGCTTCTGCCTCCTGAGTGCTGGGATTAAAGGTTTGAGCCACTAAAACGGGAGGTGGTCGCCAAACCTTTAATTCCAGCACTCAGCACTCAGGAGACAGAGACCGGTAGATCTCTGTGAGCTCGAGCCCAGCCTGGTTTACAAAATCTCGAAAAACCAATAATAATGAATAGATAAGTAAATAAGATAGCACAGTCAGGAAGCAGAAAGGCAAGAGAGAGTTGGCTACTCGGCAGTCGCTATGGTATTTGAATGTTCATTACACTCACACACCCCCATTGGAACAGACGCCCTTTTCATCATCCACATTGCTGCCAAGTCCTAAAACTCAACAAAGCAGTGATGAAACTGGTAGTGCTGCACTTTCACCTCTTATCGTGGTCAGAAATGATCATAACCTCTTTCTGGGTGGGTTTGCCCCTGAGGCCAGTGCCTCCTTGAGCGTCTCATGCGGGTTCGTGTGATTTGCACAGCAGCCGTAGAGCACCATCGCCATGTAGCCCTGGTTCAGTGTGGCTCTGCAGTTTGGGCCTGTTCCTCCTCTCTGTCCGCCTTACCACCACAGTTCCACCTCAACCTCTACCTGCAGTTTGGGTCCCATCCAGGCTCTAACAGTAAAGGACCTGAAAATGCCTTGGGTCGCTGAACACTTGGTTGGAAGGCAAAGGCAGGCGGATCTCTGTGAGTTTCAGGCCAGCCTGGTCTACAAAGTGAGTTTCATGACAATCAGGACTGTTAACAGAGAAACCCTGTCTTGAAAAAAAAATGCCTTGAATCTTACCAAGTGTACTAGACTTTACTTCCATTTGAATCTCTGTGTCTCGGGATTGCTAACCCTGGATCCTTGCCCCAGCTCACCTGGTTTCTGAACTAACCTGGAGTCTAGAATAATGACCTCTCTAAGGATGTTCAAACTCCTGCCCTCTTAGACTTTCCCCTTGCTTCTGGGTGGAGCTACAATCCTGAGTGTTCCCATACAGCCCCCTTTCCTCCCTCTGATCTCCGGGGTTTGGATCTTCCTTACACCATGTCAAAGTCTTGCTCCTTTCTACGCATGAGCAGGCACCTCTAACCTCAAATGACCCCGGTGGCACCCGGGGATAATTCTTTCATATTCTCTACAGCATCTATTTACATAATCTCTTCTCCCTAAATATTTCCCATTAAACAGGAAGCTGGGCCTGACGACCTGAGCTTGCGTCCCTGCACCCACGTGGTAGAAAGAGAACCACACATGCACACCCACACACACAGAAAACAGACATCGTGGGACAGGCCTTCAGGCTCAACACTTGAGAGGTAGAGGCACAAGAATCACTAAGTTCAAGTTCAGCCTCTACTACACAAATTCAAGACTACCCTGCACCATGTAAGATTCTGTATCAAAAACAAAATAGGGCTACAAGATAGATCAGGGAATAAAAGTGCTTGTCACCAAGCCTGATGACCAGAGTTCCATGACCTAAAATCACATGCTAGCAGGTGTTAAAGGTGGAAGCTTCACCCCAGCCCCTGGCATCCATATACCCAAAGAGTCTGGGATGTTATGGTGGAAGTTCCACCCCAGGCCCCTCCCCTATCTCCCTCCAAACCCTCCTGCATCTCAGAAAGCCCTCCAAATGATGACCCCTCCCCCCAGAGATGCTCAAGATCATTCCCACAAGATATTTAAACTGCCCCCCAAAAAAACTAGACAGGTGGTTTTCTGGTGTCTCTGTCTCCTCTCTGGGTGGCTAGAAGGCATCTGGGAGCCTTGTATCTACTAAATGTGGGCTTTTTCTAGTTCAGTTTGATTTGGTCTGATTTGGATTGCTGCATCAGTGGAGTGGAATATTGGGTGCAGAACTTTTCAGCAGGAAAGAATTGACTCCAGCAAGTTGTCCTCTGACCTGGACAAGCATGCTATGGCACACATGTACGCAAAAAATGTTTTAAATCAGTTGTGGTGTGGTGGCTGCATGCATGTAATTTCAGCACTCAGGAAAAAGAAGCAAAAGGATCACAAGTTTGAAGCTAGCCTGAGCTAAATGGACCAAAAACCACCCTGTTCTAAACAGTAAGACTCTGTCTCAAAAACATAAAACAATGGGCCAGCAAGATGGTTTAGTGGATAAAGACACTTGTCACAAAGACTGTCACCAACATAATGGAATGAGAGAACCAACTCCTACAAATCGTCTTCAGACCACTCATGGACCTATGGCATGCATACAAACATTGCTACACATGAGTGCATATGCACATACACAGAAATGTAATAAATAACATTTTAAATACTCTGGGTGGTAACCCACACCTTTAGTCCCAGCAGAGACAGGCAGAACTCTGAGTTCTAGGCTACCCTGGTCTACAGAGCTAGTTCCAGGACAGCTAAGGCTATTACACAGAGAAACCCTGTCTCAAAAAAAAAAAAAAAAAAGAAAAAACCTTAAATACAAAACAATCCCCCAGTTTTTGCTTACGAATTAATCATGCAAAAATATTTACATCACTTCTCATGGGAAGAGATGGTACCATGCAGGGTGGTGATAGTGCCCACCTTTAGCCCCAGCACTAGGGAGGCAGAGACAGATGGATCTCTATGAGTTAGTAGGCACCCTGGTCTATAGAGGGAGTTCCAGG